CTTTCATTTTTCCCACTGGACAAAATCAACGCAATAACAATAATTTCTCGATGGGTCTTCTTCTTCTCATCGCCCATGGTACGGTTCTCTCGCAATATGTAATAAATATACGAAACTATAAATATACAATTAAAATCGTTGATATAATTAAAACAATGGCTTCTTTGGCTTCGGATTGCCATTTGTGCAATGGAAGAAGATTCCGCCTCGATTTCTGGTCATTTTTAAGTCTGGCATCTCAAACAACAATAACACATTTTAAAATCAGGGAAAATGGAAAAGAGAGAAAGAGAGAGATAGACAAAAAAACGAACGATGACGGTTCACCGGATGCGAAACGGTAGTTTCTTTTTCACTGTCAATTATTTATTATTATAAGCAATACACTATGTTAATGTCAGACGAAAGTAAATCGGTTAAAAATGAATAATTAAGCAGTGAACTTTTACATTTTACACTCATGGATATTAAGTCGTTTTGGACTAGATTAGATTTGTACATAACTATGCAGGAGGAAAAATTAATAAAACGTACACCCGACCATTTTTACATTCAAAATACTTTCAAATTTTTGGACAGCTGAATGATTTTTAAATATCGCGATTTACCATTAATTTATCAGAAGATCTTTCGGCTTTTTTCTTTACCGTAAAGTGGGTATAATTCAGGAAATGGATTGTTACAAATTTTGCACAGTCTTTGTAGTTCGAAATGGGTCACTAAACTCCAACCGATTCAGTAACGACTCTCAAAAGAAATATACAATAGCTCGTTGATTAAAAAAAAAACAAATCGAGTTGAGCAAAACTTCGTTCCTGCAACAAACGTCATGTTTATGAAATTGAAATAATTTTCAATGCAAAAATAAAACATAGAAATCCAAAAGTTGAACCAAAAAAAATCACGCATAAAGTTTCATCGTGCGCTAAACTATTTCTGCGCTTAGTAGCAGCGATCCTATAACGAGAACGCAAATGATATCATATATAGATATTGTAGAGAGAATCATGTTCAGAATATTTTTCATATTTAATAATAAAATATGTTTGTTGAAACGGCTCCTTTCCCTCTTTGCCTCACAGATAGAGACAGAGAGAGAGAGAGCATAATAAAAAAAATTATAATGGAAATCCGTTGTACTCAAGTCATGATTATTTATGTTTCTTTTATTTCACTATTGTTGTCACTCGACAAAAAATCGAAATAATGGGACCTAATTAGTCAACTTGAATATACTCTACAATATTTTTTTCATTTCATTTCGAAGAGATATTATTTCAGCGAATGTGGAAAATGTAAATTGGTTTGGTATCTGAATTAGAATGAATGGAAGTCAGCGCGATTCGTGCGGGCCGAAGTGTATTCGTCCCATTACCTCGAATTGCGTTGTTGATATTTATGTTTTTTTCTTCCATTTTGAGTTCATTAAAGAAAGGCCAAAGTGAGAAAGGGAATGACAGATATAGAGAGAGTGAGCATTTTGATTATTATCAGCTCGAGATTACACCTATGCCAAAAGAACATTTTCATGCGAATGACTTAAGTCACTCTTTAATTTGGTTATAAATGTGTTCGAGTCAATGAAACAATTGCACGCATTTCAATATAATATTTTTTGTTCGTTCGAGCTATCATGCGCTCATAGATGGGTGCGCTTCAATGAAATATATTTTATGGTCATTTTCCTGATTGAGGTGGCGCTTTCACGCACCGACCAGAGAAAACAAAATCAAAAGTACACTTTCTTTATCAACAGCACATGACATGTTGGGTACATTCAAATAAAGCAACGCAAATGACGCTACTTTTGATGTGTGGAACGGCGAAATGTTCTGTACAAAGAATTTAAACACGCATCTCTCATATGCACATGAGAAAAAAAAACAACAACACATTTTCCATATAATTTCAGAACAAAATTGTTGATGATTCACGGTTACACCAGGATCAACGGAACAATGAAGCAAAAATGCTTTTGTCATGTTTCCGAATTTTGCATCATAAACTTTTGACATATTTTTCGAACACAATTTATTTTCTTATTAATTCCAATTCGAGAGACGGTAAACACTCGACATAATCCCGTGAATAGCTCCACTTCAACCGAGTCAATAACATGAAATACTGACAAAGTTTAATTTGATGCACGTACTTCAGCCGACTGTTTAACATTCAATCAACAATATGACTCTATTTATACTGGTGGAGTATTCAGCCGTAGGCAGTCAATGAGAAAGAGCTCCGTTTCAATCAGCAATTACTTTGCGCTGTCGTTTGTGTATCTGATCGCATTTTAAAGATATAATTTGTCAATATTTTGGAGAAAATGAAACACAACGCCACTTTGAAGAAGCAGCAGAGAGCAACGCCAGAAAGAAATATCCAAATTGCCATTATTTTACGTTCAATTATTCATAAAAAAAATATTGCGAACGCAACGGGCATGCATATTTCGGTTTTACGCTTTATTTATTGCCATGAAACGTTGTCGGAATATTGATCTCCGTCGAATCGGGGAAAAAAATGAGCGAAATTCGTTGACACGAAAGTAAATCTTGTGCTTTGAGGTGAAATTAATTTGAAGATGAGCCGTTGTTCCTTTCCTTTTAAGGCTTAGCTGTTTATTGCTTGGGGTGAATTCGACAAACAGAACGCACGGGGAACATGAGATTGGCATGAGGGAGGTAGACGATTCGCCGTTATCGAATGATAAAATGAATTGATTTCGTTTTTACTTCAAAATGTTGGTATGATGTTGTCGCGCGTGTACAAAGTTTTAATGGACTGAAAATTGGTTCAGAAAGAATAAAAAAACATGTTGAATTCTTAAAAAGCCGCTTATTTTCAATGAAAATTAGGTTTGCGTAGGATCTTCTTTGAACATGTCTGAGCCAATCGATACGTAACACAGAGCCAAGAGCATTACTAGCTTCACTGGACCCATCTATGAAATGGATCCACTTCACCTTTACTTGAAACTAGACGAAGAAAGAATTTGTGAAGAACTAAAAGTTTAGTATGTGACATGGCTTTTTTATATGCATCCGTAATGGAGAAAAATATAAACCGAACATTGCAACTAAAACCAAAGTGTAAAACTGAAATTAGCGAGCTCTCATCATTTTTTTTATGTATTCTGAACGGTTACACCAAACATCAAGACTCCATATACATTTAACGATGTCAATATGCCCGACGTATACTATTGTGCATGGAGCATGCTTATTTTAGTTCCTCCCTTCGTTTGATGACTTCGTTGAAGGTTTGCGATGGTTTTCGGCGTTTGCGAAAAAGTGAGTCGAGAAAAAAAGTTTGTGGTAAAAACTTTAACTAATAAAATACCAAGTAGAAGGGAAGATGTTTACAAGAGCACAGTATGTTGTGGAATATGTCGTCAATGGGATTCGTACCAAGGAACACGATTTCCACATAAATCTGAAATTGCGAATATCTCTTCGTGCGTTGTCGCTGCATATTCGCTGCTGATTTGGTTGATGAACTTGTTGCTCGGGCCGAATCGAAAAATTGATTTGCTTTCGAGACCCTACTGTAATCACCTTTAGCAAATCACCTCCCATAAGATGTTATAGTTACTTAGTCAGACATGAGCGCTGGGCAATGGAAGCATTGCTAAACAATGTCACCCGAAAAAAACTCGAACGACAAACAAAATTATTGTGACTTTTTTATTGTCTTTGCCAAGAGAAAGAGATAAAAGAAATAGAGAGTAAAATACGGTTGCAGCTCACAATTACGATGTATAATTTGACAGCGAAAATGATTCACCAACGCAGTTTACGTGCAATCGTACATATCTTTGACATTTTGTCATAAAATTTACAGCTCAATTCACGACGTACATGTAAATGACACATTCGATTTTAGTGAATGTGCCCGCATCTATCGGAACACTAGTGATCCCATTGTTTTATTTGCCTTAAATTGAATAAGTGTATGTTCACAAAGACACACAACAAATGAATTCTTCCATTCATTCTGGCGATTTTCCTTCCGACGTTACCGCAGCACAATGAATGCATTAGGCCTACTAACGGAATAAACATACACATACACATTTTTCAATGACACACTATTGACAATTTTCCGTATTCACTCAATGGGCCTTGCCGAGAATGTGGTGAAAACACCTACATATCAAATATTTCATACGCATTTGATAATGCCAAAGCCATTCATTTATACAATTTCGTTAATGCGCGTAAACGGGTCTGATTGGGTGTTTAAACCATCAAAACCAACTGCCATTTTCACGAGTTGAGTGTGTATGATATGTGACAGTTAGTGTGAAAGAGACAAAGTTTGACAGAAGACTATTTAGCAGAGCCCCTTTCAAATGGTCTTTGCCGAAATTCCTGCTTAGCCCCGTAAAATATGTTGTGTAAGCTCAACCGCAGGTGAAATGCGAATCTGTTTCTATCCAATCTAATAACCAATTTTCGACAGCTTCGTATGCTGTTTAAATACATTTGCATTCCACTGCGATTGGAGTGATATGAAGTGATAGATATTATTGAGCTTAAGTTCATTTACCGAACATTACACAGTGACAATCATTACTTATTCAATATTCAATTAAAAGTATCATTTCCGCACCATTTCGTTCGGTTTGCGTCGTGTCGTTCAAAATATTTGGCGCTGCTTTTATTGCCATTCAAAGGTCGATACTAAGGGGTAAATCACTACTGAAAAGACTTAAAGCACCGAAATCCACTGAAATTTTTCAGTACTTTTCAGTGTTTTTCCGTATCAAAATAGATCTGGATTTTTGACAGTTGAAAGTTGTTTTGACTGCCATCTATTCATTTTCCCCCCCGAAAATTAATGCCATTTTCAGTCCTTTCATATACTAATACATTGGGCACTGAAAGTACTGAAAATCACTGAAAAGTACTGAATTCAATTTTGCAGTAGTAATTCGCTCCTTGGTAGATACTATATCGTGCAGTTTTTAAAAAACATGTATATAGATTTACTGAGATTAGGTCTGACACCAGAAACCAATTATTCGTATGCGTAACATTTTATTCCAACCAAAAATGTTTCATATTTTCAACTGCTATATACTACTTACTACTATTACATTTATGAGTTACTTAAACCGAATGAAAACACTCAGGTAGTGGACGAGATTGCTTTCAGATCGACGCAACTGGCATATCGAATGTCATCCTCTGTGCCGAGCGGTTCTTCACGTTTCAACTCCAACTTCAAATATCTACGTACAAACGGTGCGAATAGTTTGGGGTCCATTTTGCGTGGGTCGTTAAAGCCACTTATGGCCGATACAATGGTTGATACAGCAATTGTAATTAGAGCTCCCAATAAAGTGTACCATAGATAGGAAATGTGATAGATGGTGAAGTCAGGTCCGATGACTGGGTCTTCAATGAATGGAGCATCAGTGCCGTTGATTGCCAGCAAGTTCAATGGACTCTCAGCCATAAAAATGTAGCCGCAGCCTTGGGTATCTATTGGTTTTATCGAATGGAACAGTTCACCTGTTGCTATTGCCGCCTGGGCACGAGCACAAATCCATGCCATAACTCCTAGACCAGTTGCACCCCCAATCACAACCCCAAGTCCATTTATCCATGGCAACAACACTCCCATCGTGAATATCCCTAGAAGTGGTCCATTTGAAACAGCTCCCAAACTAATTGACAAAGAAAATAAATTTCGATGCGGATATGATTCCAGAGTGGAGATTGAGTGACAAAAATGACGAAAGAGAGATTATAATTTCGATGAAAGAAAATACATCGAGATCTTTTTTCGAGTAAATTTTTGTAAAGTTTCACCTGATTGACAATTGCAAAACGGCACCCAATTTTTCCACCAAGAATACCAGGCATACACAAATTGCCCCAAATATGGCAACTACAAAACGCATTACGTAATGAGTTTGCTTTTCGGTTAGGGGCTTCTTGATGAAACTCTTCACGAAATCCTCAAGAATGACAGCGCTCATGGAATTCAAACCAGTTGATAAGGAACTGTACGTGAAACAGAAAAGGCAATAAATAAAATAAAATAGAGAAATATTAGATAAGTTTACCTTAAAGCAGCACTAAAAACACCCGAAACGAACAATCCAGGCAAACCTATATAGAAAGTAATATAAAGATCTTGGAATTAAGTCACACAATTTATATTCTAATCTTGTGAGGCAAACCAGGATAATCGCCAAACAGCTGCATCACCAGCAGAGGTAGCAGTTGATCTTTGGCCTTCACCAATTTAGTGGTCAAGGGATCACAGTCGTGATATGTTGCATATATTAAAAGACCACAGTAGGAGCAGGTGATAATCAGGACCAAAGTTCCGAGAATGAATAGCCAAAGAGCCCTAGATTTGGATGAAAAAAAAAATAAAACCAACTAGAAATGTAGAATGATGATGATTTTTCCCACATTTTTGCATCTCTGAGTGTAGGTAGCGCCAGATAGCGTTGGATCATCTGAAAGAGAAAAAGAATGGGTTGGGTTGGGTTGTAACTGTGCAATAGGTACTGTACTAATATAGATTGCAATAGACATTATGACATTTAGTGAGTACATTTTGAGAGATGGCATTGCTTTTTAACCATTGGGCAAAACCTCCAATTACAACAGCGTAGATGGTGTGTCTTGTTTTCAAATCAAAGGTAAATCTACAAAAACCGAAACAAATCGTTAACCGCTGCGGAAAAGGGCTTCTGTATGTGTTATGACATTACTCAGGTAATTCGATCCGTCCACTTTCGACTGCTTTGTCCCACACCATACCGAATCCACCAATGTCAATTGTCCCCTTTATCATGACCAGAAACATGGCACCAAACATCATAACCAGCCTAATGGTGGACGATTTTCAATCAATTTGTCAAACAAGCAACGCCTAAAGTGCAATGATGTATCTTACTGTATGCAGTCTGTAAACACCACAGCTTTAAGGCCTCCCACGCAAGTGTAAAAAATACAAACGAGACAAACAATTGGTGTGATCAAATGAACGTTGACCCCGGTTACTACAAGCAAAAGTGGCAAATGAGCGGATATTTGTTTTAAATTGATTACAAACTGTCCGAATATTACCCTGGTTAAACGCTAACGCTGGCACGTAAATAACAATCGGAAGCCAGAGCATTGTGCCAAAAGTGAAAAGTACAGCGCCAAACAAACGAACTCGATTGTCAAATCTGGTCTCCAAGTACTGAAATTGATTATAAAATGAAGTAAAATAATAATCATTTTGAACAATTTAACTATAAATACACAGTGTTGTATCAGATTCTCGATACACAAACATTGTAGGCGATATTTTTCTGCTTCTTACATCGTAGTTCCGATCAACTTACTTGGTAAGTGGACGTTAATTGAAGGTCGTGGAAGACAGGCAAATAGATGTAGGTCATGGCGATGCCCATTAAAATAACGCCTAGCATAACAAACATGTATTGCACGCCATAAACGTATATTTCGGTAGGAGTACCAAGTAACGTTATCCCACTAACAAAACTGAAAGCAAACAAGCACATTAGAGTCTTGTGATAAGGACAGACGCTCTTGTTGCAGCTATCTGATGAAAAAATCATGTGCTCAATAAGCTCGTCATATCGTCTTCATCATCTTCACATCAGCTTAAACTGAGAATAATGAGAAAATTGTAGTTTATCCAATTTGTAAGCTATTTTACACATATTGAGCTTGATATGAGCGCTGCAAACGGCACACGAAGTTAGTATGATTTTTTTCAAAATGTGATTTCGAGCTTCTGCGTCAAACGGATTGTTGAACTTTGATCAAAATAACGGCCTCTCTTCAATTTGTTTGATGTTGTTTAATCAAGCGCACCCAAAACGAGTGTACTTTTGTTCTAGCGTTCAACAAACGTACCTTGCAATCAACGACATTGTTATGGGCACAACTGACATCTGTCGACCCCCCACTAAATAATCGGACTCTTCGTCGCATTTTTTGGCTGGCTTTTTTTCGAAGAATCCAAAATACACACCAATCAATGCACAAATCACCAACATTACCACAAACACCATATAGTCCGGCAGGCCGAACTTTTGCATTGATATTTTTACATCATCTAACATGAGACCCGACATTTTTACGTTTTAAATAGCTAACAGTTAACAACAGTCCACAAAAATCAACAATGAATCACAAATAAATACGAAAATGAGAAACAAAACACACTTGAATAAATTTTTTAGGTAATAATTTGAAATTTTTTATGCTTCATTTATTGTCACCAGTTTAGTAAAGGAAAAGAGCTATGGACATCACCAGGAAAAAAAAACTTGTTATACGCCAACGTATTGACCAGCAGAGCCTCCACTGAAAATGAATTCTTCACTGATAAGAGAATAAGTTTTGAGACTAAGCTGCGAACAAAATGTGTGTGGTGTCGCGACAATGGCGAATTACGATCTGATGGCGAATGAGCGATAAGCATTCTGCATGCACTACATTTATTTATGCCATTGTACAGCACTTAATTGGAAAATTGAAGCCATTATGCTATTTATAATAATGTCACTCACTCACTCAATTTAAAATTTTTTGATACATTTCACGTTGGGCCAGCATGACATGCTTAAGCAATTTCTGTACACATACATATGCGCTTTATTTCGGCGTTTAAACCGCTTATGTTGGTTTCAGTTAAGTCACACAGGGTCCGAATAATTTACAAATTTAGGTACATTGTTTGTGATTCATTTCGCTAAACGATTTGCTCGAAAATTGTTTTGCAACATTTGGGTATCAGCATCGGAATTGTCAAAGTGTAGCAGTTTAATTCAAGTTACTTGTTTATCGAAAAAAATTAACCGGCTCTGAGATCTGAGCTCTGAGCCAATTGCGATTAAGTCATTTCAAATTCACTAAATTGATTTCTCAACGAAAACCAAATTTTGTATTTATTCTTAGCCGTAAAGGAAGTCATACTTAAACCAGTTATGAGAACACACTGCACTGTGTGTTCTTTCAGACAATAAAATTGGAGAATATTTCATGGAATTATTTCAACGTCTTAATCAATGGAAACGTTGTGCGAATTCGAAAATCGTTCCGACAAATCGCATTAATCGAATGATTGAACGAAATGAGTGTGAATAAATGGCCCGCCCACGAGTTTCATGCATTTGTTGATCTTGCCTTTAATATTGGCTTATGGTTTGACAGTAACCAATCGATTTCTTGTGACGAACTGCGAAACCGATTCGCAGAAGAATAACATCTTGAAAATAATTTATTTTTTATTTTGACGCGCTCTCCGGCAATGTTTTGCCATTTAAATAATAGCACACCATAAAAGTGACAGAAAAAAATTGTTTCGATTATGATTTTATTTTCCCTTGAATGCAAAGTGTTGAATCCAAGTTTCGAATTGCAATATTTCGATGATATCTATGAACATAACAGAACAGAACACAAATAAAAGTAACGCATATTTATTCCGTTCAATTGAAAAATAACCAACAATCATAAGTTTATGGTGAAATAATAAAAGAAACATGCATAAAAATCGTCATAGTTGGTTTGCCACACGATCGTCGTGCCACACTCAAGTAAACATTTCATGGCCCAAGTGAGATTGATATGCAGTTATAGGTATTCTTTTTAATGTGTATGAAATTGCGAATTGAGTGAACAGAGATGCGTTTTGCTGCTCGATAATAACAATGGCATTTATTTCAGTTCCGCTTTGTGTTATACAATATACAATAGAAGGTAATTTGATTTGTTTTTCGGTGATTTCGTTCGTTCGTTCGATTCTTGTTTGTGTTTTTGTAGTTTCACACTTCAAAGTATTTGCACGAAGTGAGCGAAATGAATGAGTGTTTTGAGTGCAATATTGGTGGTCTTTTTAATCCGAAATTCTCAGATGCATTCTAAATGTGTCATGTGTGTGTTCTTGCGATGCTAAGTTTTCAGAGTGAAAATGATACGTTTGGTGAATTGATTGAAATTGGAGAAATTCGAGAAATTGGCATATTGAAAAAGGCATTTTGAATCTTAAACGTATGTCACACGCGATGATTTTCTTTATTCATCCGAAATACCACAAATTTATGCTAGGAATTATAAATATATTTTCTATTTGGCTGTCAGTTTTGATAATGCTGCGTTCGTTTGTATCATCATAGGCCAATTTTCACTCAAATGATGTTTGCCATTAGTTTATTTATGTACAGGTGTATACTGTATACCCTTCTTGGCTTGCTCACAAATCCTTCGGAGATATCCGTTCTGGCTGCGCTACGGATATGGTTGAGGAAAAAAGCGACAAGCGAATAGTTGCAGAATCATTTATTTATCAAAATGTATCATTCGGAATGATTTTATTTCCATTTGTGTGTGCTCGTTTCTTCTTCTTTCACGCATACAAATCCAATTTTATAGATGTGCAAATACATTCTGGTACATTGATACATCATACGTGCGGCGTATACGGTCGATGCGGCGAATAACCATATATCATTTTGGTTGAATGTTAGAATTGTATTTGGGGCAATATTTGAGTGGACACTTCCCAATATTTTACCGTTATGTGTTTATTTTATTTGGTTTAGTGTTGTTGTTGTTGTTGTTGTTTTCGCATGTGATGCCTTTAGTTATTGTTTTTGTATTCCATCTCGAATAGTTTTTATTTATGTCAAATAAGATAAATGATACCGATATTCGGTCCGTGTGATGTGAAGTGGTATTAGGAGAGAAGATAGGCAGAGGACAATTAATCTTGATCCCTTTTTGTTTCTCTTTCTCTATTTATTTTTTGCCATCATCGCATCACCGTCACTCAAGTTTTAGGGCTAGTTATGAAACAGTTATCTGCTGTCTATATTGTCACTGTCACCGTAGATCCGCATTTTTTAGTGCTTACTGAGACCATGTTCGGCATTGAATACGGTAACGGTGCTTTCTGTAAGTGAAATGAAACAATATCAAGCAAAAAGAAAATGCGGATTTTGTTTTGGTTCGAATATATTTCAGTTGGAAATGTATGCGAATACTTAAATAGACTTCACATATGCGCCCATCAAATGCTCATATGTCTTTTTCGAACTTAATCTACGGAAATACGGCCACTAGGACTATTGTTTTCGTCCATTTGTTTGATATTTCCCATGTTCAACGCAAGCATCTAAGCTGTAATGTGCCATTTTTGGTAGCCATAAGTCGATAGAAAGTGCGTAAAACCGTGTAACGAGTAGGGCACCCTTGCAAGGAACTCGCCCAACATTTAACAAGTGAACTGTAATTCACGCCACATTATTAATTATCCCAAACTTGTCGAATGAATTATTCATTAATATTCCAGAAAATATGCTTCGTAACAAGAGGTCCAACGGTTATGACAGCCGAAAAAAAAAACAAATATTTACCGTTTGGATCGTTTATTTCTATTGGCCGCGAAAAGTTGGTGAACTTTCAAATCCAAAATTTCTTTTGAATGATTTGAATCGAATTTTGTTCATCGTCGAATTCAAAATTTATCAAGCTACATTCATTTTCAAAAGCAGAATTAAATGGAATTCATCACACCGACCCTCAAATCAGATGAATATTTATCGCGAGCAGATTTTGTGGTGTGTGCGAAAAATCTGTTTTTAATTGAAAAACCGCCGCCTCGTTAACTCATTGAGTTGTGTGAAAATGGGTGAATGATCGTTAATCAAGAAATTTCATCGACTCATATTAATCCATTCGCATCAAAATGAATAGCGAATTTGGTTAAGTATTGCCTTTGGCTGAACAACATGTCTAACGAACGAACGAATGAAAGATTGATTTCGATCCAAAGTCTAGTTTCACGAGAATTTCAATATGCAGATTTCTTTGGATTTCGGCCATTTGCCCGCCAAATGAAATTTAAAAAAAAAACAAAACGTACAATGTTTGTAATGCAGACGGAGCACGTAATCGCAACTCATCTTTCCACATGCATGCTTCAGTTCCGACACCGCAACAAAACAATATAATGAAAAAATACACACATAATATCTTGATTGCAAAACTCTATTTAATTCGATTGTGTTTTCGCAGTCGTCACCGCAGTGCCATGCAATTTAATAACGCGCATTCGCCGCCCCGTTCTACAGTGATTGTATCTATCACATCCGTGAACATCGATACACCGTTTCTCTTCAATGAGAAACACAAAACAAACGAAATCTTCATTTGTAGAACATAAACTTGAATTCGCTCACTTGAGCAATTCCCATCAGCGAAGATCAGAAATTACAATCGAAATGATGGGATAGCGTTCATGCGAAATGTGTGAATGATTTTGGTTTGTTTTCTTCTTTCTTCGTCGAGAAAGATCCCAGATCAACGATGCATAAGTTAATTAGAAACTGGTGAAACAAACCATTTCAGATGTAAGCAAGAAAAAGAGAACACAAACAGAGACTTAATCGGACTTCGAACTTAGTTCGAGTCGATATAGTCGTTTAACAACAATGTCAAACGAAGCTTTCAATAGATTGGGTCGGATTTTACATGGATTTCAATTCAGTATTGACAATTATTTCCTCTTCTTTTGCTTCACTTTCCCATTAACAGTTTATGGTTGCACAAGTGTGGCTATTCAAAATGCCAAATCTTCTTCGAAACCGATTGAAACACATTCTTTATGCAGATATAAAAAAACCCAATTCCAATTGATATAATCGAGAGAGGAGAATGTCTGAATATCGATACCTCAACCCACTCATTAGCACGTTATCGTTGGAAACAGAATAAAAACGCAATTAATATACCACAATAAGGCACCATATTTCCAAATGACTATGTTTCGTCGCTCGCTGATTTGGTCAATAATTTTTCTGATCAACAGTGTAATTTCAATAAATAAACGTGTTTAATTACATAATTTTCGTCCAGCTTGCATTCAATATTTGAATGTGAGGTTTTCTAATGAAGAACAAAAAATCACACTGACTCTCGAATTGCATCTTTTGAATCGTTTGAGATTTTATCGCAATCGGATGATCATGATTGTGTGCATCTGAAGATTACCGACTGCGTCTTCAATTGCTAAGTAATTTATACAATTGAATGCTCACGATTGAAAAGTGGGAGTTGAACTTGAATTCTCAATGCCACGTTCTCAGATGAAAGAAACTCGGCAAAAATATTGATTACTCAAAATCACCAAACCGATTTGAGATCCCCGTAAATCAGTTATGCA